ATCTCGGAATTCCAATCATAAATTAATCCTTCTTTAAAGAAAGGACGTGTTTACATAAAACTCCGAACCTTCCTGGTTAAACAAGCAACTTCACAGTGCTAATTTTCAACTGATTAGCCCCAAATTATCCTTTGTTTTCGAGCGAAAAAAAAACCGGCGGGATAAGCAAAAAAAAAGAGGTGAAAACTAATTAAAATTTGCATTTTTCGGGTGAGCTTTCTTCGCGAAAGTGAAAATAAGTTCATCGCAAACTTCCATATAGTTCAATACCGCTTTTCAGGACACACATTTTTTCCACAGTCTTAATCACGAGTCCTTCCGTCGCCGGGCGAGTTAATTCGAAATCAAATTAAGGAACAAATTTAAACTTTCCTTCGACGATCGCCGATCCCGTCCTCGATTCCGGTTCCCTACGACTTGCTTCGAATTTCCGAATTCCTCCCGTCCTTCTAATAACGCTCATCTCCGGTTCCATAATCAGCGATCGATATCGAATTATTATTCACCTTTGTTAGGGCCCCCCCGAGCCGACCTATCTTCTAATTCGAATCAATTAGGAACTTTCCTTCCTCCTTAAATTTGGTTTAATAGTTTCGCTAAAGGTCCCGATCACTATTCAAACATCTCGATATATTGAAGGTTCTCAATCAATCAATTTTTCTGTTGAACTCTTTCAAATAGTACCACAAAACGTGGTAAATTTTAATAGCCATTGTGGCATGTTTAACAACGAAAATGAATCGGTTCCTTCACCTGGAAATTCCTCGTGTACTGTTAACTTGCGAAGTATATCCAGAGATGTTCTCAATTTATTCCGCGTAGTCCTTGAATCTCAGACTAGAACTTCTCGTCTAACATACAACTGCTAATTACAAACAACACTACAATTCTATTAGCGAGCTTATACATACATGCATTGTTAATCCAAGCCGCTTTTCTAACAGACCTTTGTGATTTCTGTATAGTTACTATTGAAATAGAAATGGTTGAAATCGAGTCGTTAGCGGAATAATTAATTAATCAGTTCCGTCGGCTCGATTTAATAAGAATTTTCGAAACTAAAATATGCATGAGAGTACTCGAATCTCGTCGATGCAGGTCCTTTCGCTATACAAAAAGTTTAAATTGCCCCTAAAGCTACTTTTACTGTTTTATTTCTACATTACCGAACAGGGTTTTTAACTTAAAATTCGCCAACAGTAGGTACTAAAAGTTTCTTGTATATGATTGCTGTAATTGGTAATTACAAGTCGGTCGCCTCGCAGCTTTTTCTGCTCTTGAACGAAATTAGTGCAGGAAGTTTCAGGCAACAAGTCGTGTAAGATCGAGCGTGAATCTCATCAAGGAAACAACCTTTTTTTTGTATACTGGAGAAATTAGTTTGGGTATAATTCAGAAATAATGTGCGAAGAATGTAGATTGAATGAAACGGCAATTTCTCGAATTGTAACGCCTTTGATGAATGTAAAGTTAATAAACGAAACATGAATTCAATGTAAAGTAATTACGTAAGGGATTAAGGGAAAACTCCCCTGTAGAGATACGCGATTTAAACGAATTTACCTCGACTTTCGACAAACTTCACTCTACCCTCCATTATCCTTAATTTGCTATAATCGTCTTGTCAGTCAAATGCCAAAACATGGCCGGTTATCCAACGTTTTCCCTATATATATATATCAGAAAACTAGAAACAGGGTTAGTTACACACGCCATATACCCCACGCGAATGCGATGAAGAAAATTAACGGTAGTAAACTTTAACGAAAGTAATTTAAAATTCACCTCACCTAAAGGCAAATATTTGAATACAGGAAATTTAATACAAAAAAACGCACCTGCAAACCTCCTCTGTATATATATTCATCAAGGTAAAACAGCGTTACTGATTTATTCAGCTTTTATATCGTTTGGAAAATTTCAAGGGACATAAAACTGTCGTATATTTTCCGGGAAACTTTAAAACGTGCGAATAATTTTCGCATCGGACGAATTAAGTGCTTGTAACCCGCCGATTTGAATATTACATGTTCACAAAGATACCTCCTGCACAGATTGCATTAAATTTTATTCTTCTCTTTTAATTTATAAGTTATTTTTTTTATTCAAAAATGGAACAGTTTGCTTAGAGATTAGATATGGAAATGGATTCATCTTCCAATCCTTTAAACCTCTAAAAACACTAGAGCGAATACTCCAATATTTACTCGAAAACAAAAAAAAAAAAAACTCCAGCCGATCCCTATCGCTAATTCCCGCAAATAGAAAGTATCCTATCGGAGTTGCGTGTCGCAACTGGATAAAAAAAACGTCCCCGTTCGACGAATCTTCCATTAATCGACTCGTCGAAAGTATAAAAACCCCGGCCAGACCCCGAAGTTTTGGCGTTCCCATTAAAAATATGGCCGGTAGTTTTATCCTAATCGGCGGATTTTTCCCGAAAACCGGGGACCACCTAATTACGAAAATGCCCCGAAACGTCGATAAATATTTCTCCAACTTTCGTGACCGGAGAGATATCGAAGGTTATGAAGATTGCGGTGTTAATAAAACATGTACATGTACTTGGAATTGAAGTGGAAGATTAAATTTTGCAGCTTGATTTGGGTGGAAGAGAAGGAACAATCTGTTGTACTTGTACCTACTAGCAATTTTTGATCTTTCTCCTCAGTGTCCTTTTCCTGGATCCGATTGATCATTATAAAGTGTATTTCAATATTTTGAAGTAGTCAACGAGGAATATACATCCTGGTTTTAATGGAAAGGATCCGAGGAAGTCGGCGTTTTTGTTCCAGTAATGCGATTTAGGGAATGTAGTGCTGATAGCATCCGAAAACTGGATATATGTCTGGCATGAAATCCGGATTTTGAGCCTTATTCGCCCCGAATGGGGGAAGAAAACGACGATTATCAGATTCATTTGATCAGCAAACGGAATGTATTCCATTCGGAGATGCGCCTTCGCGGGTTTCCTTTAAATTTTATCGCGCACGGTCCGTAGATAAATATCGAGAAATAATTAATTGTCTTTCGTTTTATAATTAAACGTTGCTTTTAATTAATTCGAATCGAAAACGAATAAACGCGCAGGTATTTCCGATGAGCAGACATCTAGGTTAATTTATTATCGCCTAGCGGCGGAAAATTAGACGGAATATTCCGGTAGGTCCTGTTTTTTTTTTATTTCCTCCCTTTTGCGGACCGATAAATTACCCCGAAAGTTCATTATATTTTACAATTAACGTTCGGCCGAGCGAATTGGGTGGACGGACGGGACAGCCTAAAGTGTTGAATTAGTCCTGGAAACGCTGGAATGTCGACTGCGAAAAAAAAATGTCGTTATCCTAATTATACCGGAGAGAGTTAATCTTCCTTTCTACCAGGTCACAAACTCGCAATTCTAATTGTTTGTTAATGGACCATCAAACTATCACGAATAGATATTGAAAAATATTGGATTGGAAAATATTCAGGATGACCTTCATAAAAACGGCTAATGAAGGAAGGTTTTAGAAGATTTTGGATTATTATGGAGAGTTTAAAGTTGAAGAATCGTTATAATTTCTTCTATAACTCAATATTTTAGTTTTCTACCAGGTCGAAACTCACAATTCTAATTGTTTGTTAATGGACCATCAAACTCTCACGAATTGATATTAAAAAATATGGAGATGATTTGAGAAGAAGATCCTCGATGATTTAGGATAGACCTTCACAAAATAGGCTAATGAAGGAAGGTTTTACAAGATTTTGGATTATTATGGAGAGTTTAAAATTGAAGAATCGTTATAATTTCTTCTATAACTCAATATTTTAGTTTTCTACCAGGTCGAAACTCACAATTCTAATTGTTTGTTAATGGACCATCAAACTCTCACGAATTGATATTAAAAAATATGGAGATGAATTGGGAAGAAAGATCCTCGATGATTTAGGATAGACCTTCACAAAATAGGCTAATGAAGGAAGGTTTTACAAGATTTTGAATTATTATGGAGAGTTTAAAATTGAAGAATCGTTATAATTTCTTCTATAACTCAATATTTTAGTTTTCTACCAGGTCGAAACTCACAATTCTAATTGTTTGTTAATGGACCATCAAACTCTCACGAATTGATATTAAAAAATATGGAGATGAATTGGAAGAAAGATCCTCGATGATTTAGGATAGACCTTCACAAAATAGGCTAATGAAGGAAGGTTTTACAAGATTTTGAATTATTATGGAGAGTTTAAAATTGAAGAATCGTTATAATTTCTTCTATAAACTCAATATTTTAGTTTTCTACCAGGTCGAAACTCACAATTCTAATTGTTTGTTAATGGACCATCAAACTCTCACGAATTGATATTAAAAAATATGGAGATGAATTGGGAAGAAAGATCCTCGATGATTTAGGATAGACCTTCACAAAATAGGCTGATGAAGGAAGGTTTTGGAAGATTTTGGATAATTTAATACTGGAGAGTTTTCTGATGAGTATACTTATAAAATTGGGTGCCAGAATAACCTATTCTCATTCTTGTGTAAACACTTTCAGACCTTGATATTTTTATCGATTCTGTTCAACTGAATACATCGACTTCCAAATAGAAATGGTTTGTACATGTATTTTATTACTTCTTCCTATGAAATAGCATTACACAAGACCGGTTTGAATAAATAAATTCGATCGATGTCGTAAATTGGGACCAAACCCATCTTTCGACCTAATTATAAAAAAATAAACCAGCTAATTGGATAGAAACGGGCATTTTTCAAGGTGTGTGAATTTGCATGCGACCTAAAATTAGATTATTAATTCGTAATGAATTGCCGTATAGTCAAAATGTTTACAAACTATCAGCGGATAACACGAAAGCTTTATAGATAATTGAAGTCATGCAAGAATACCGCCTTCCATCAAAACCCATTCGAAACGAGCCAGAATCAACTGGAAGGCTTTTAAGGGTGTAGACGTGAAAAACCGAATTTCATAGTTCTTCTTTGTATTTTCCAGGCGCCCAGGAAAGCGTCGGTTCGAAGAAATTCCGGGAGTTTTTGCAGGAGTGGCCGACGCCCGGCACTGGTCCCTACTTCGACACCTCTATAAATTCGAATGTCACCGGTCTGGTGGGCAAGACCGTCATGCTCCACTGTCGAGTGAAAAACTTGGGCAACCGGACGGTGAGTAACTGAAAGTGTTTTTCCATCGATTACAGTGGTTTTTTTCGCTCCAGCGCTGAATCTTTATTCTCCGATTTGTTGCCGAAATTGAGATGTTATTCTTCTTTTTATCGAGTATTTTCTACCAACTTAAACTTTTATCAATCAAATACAATCAAGTTTGTGTGATGCACCATTATTAATTAATTTCATCGTTCATATAATGAAAATCCGGGACAATGCGGTGATATTTGAATCTACATACATACAATATCCATCCGACGCTTCATTACATCAGTTAATAATTCTCGTTAATTTAACGACATGTTTTATAGGTAATTTTAATTGTTTATGATGGTGATATACATAAAAGGGAAATGTATGTATGAATTTGTGTTTGTTAGCGCCTATAAGCTACGATTAGTTTGATTAAAAAATTATCAAACCCGGTATTTTTCGGAAACATTGTACATTTTCTCATATTTATGTGAATGAGGAAATTTTATTGGTAGTATTTTATTGCACGTTCGAGAGTAGAGGTTGGTGTTTTATCGCCGGAACGATTTTCCTGCAAATCGTCCTTCCTCCTGCCATTATTGTTATTTTTCCATTACGCCCCTTTATCCGCACTAATTCCGTTTCAGTCGTCTCTCAAGTCTATTTGCTACCGGTTTCTTTTTTTTACGATTTCCTCCTTATAAGCTCCGACCTGCGTAAAAAAAGATTCCCCATTTTATATCTATACCGAATCGTCCATTAAACATAGCCCACATGAATTCGACATTTTTCGTTTACGATACGACTAATAAACCTCCTTCGACCGCATAAATCAAACAAGTTATTTACTTAATGACACCGACAGCGCCGATCGAGAGGAAACCCCCGGAATAATTCAACCGACCGGAAAAATTCACTTGTAACAGCGACTCGTCGAAAAAAAAAAAAGAAATAAAAAAGAGGAGAGAAAAAAAATGGTAAAGGTAAATTATAGTCGGGTTGTGAGGGAGCGAAGACGCCGAGGGGTCGAGTGTGAGCGTTAGAGCGATGAGTGTTTGCACGGGGTTTCCCCGGAGCCGCGAGCAACACCTGAACAAATTCCGAGCTCTAAACTATCGCTTTTCACTTGCAAAATTACCTGCTACTTGAGCTCATTATTGCTAAGCAGATCGATCTAGTTGATGATGTCGATGGAGAAAGTGTAAATATTTTAGATTCTCGATTCACTTGGAATTGGATTTAGTGTAGAATTGCAGGGATGCTACTTGTGCTCATTAAAACCTGGTATTTATTGCTAAGCAGATCGATCTGGTTGATGGAAAAGTGTAAATATTTTAGATTCTTGAATCACTTGGAATTGGATTTAGTGTAGAATTGCAGGGATGCTACTTATGCTCATTAATACCTGGTGTTATTGCTAAACAGATCGATCTGGTTGAAGATGTCGATGGATAAGCAAAAGTGTAAATATTTTAGATTCTTGCAATTGGATTTAGTGAAGATTTGAAGGGACATTTAGCAGGAGAATTCGTTTCAAGCGTGACCTGTTAGTGCTTGTCTAGGAGCGTTGAAAAAGGGTATAACATTTGACACGCCGTGACTGCTCAATTACCGAAATCCCGAGCATGTTGGAGCAATAATTTTGAATAAATGATGGTGACACGTTTCAGTGTCTACGCTAAAGCCGTGTTACATTATTATTGCATTTTGCGAGGGCGGTTTTTCGGGATATCCCCTAATGGATTTTCGCGGTTTGGCGCGCCTTCGAATCGGATCCGAATAATCTTTACCGGTCGCCGCCGAAAGTTAATTTCGCGAGTCGAGGTTGTTTATGTTTTTCATCGAATGTTGTCGTTTTTGCGACCAATCGACCGGCGAATGGGCGGCGTAAGACGAAAGACGACGATAATGATTGCTCGTTGCTTTTTTCCGCCGTTTTGTTATCGGTTAAGCGAGCCGGTCTGATGATACAAAAACAACAAACAAAAAGATCTGCTTCCTTTCATTCGTCGTCGACAGAAATTTGTTTTTCAATTCATCGAGTACATGCAAGAAGACTTCGTAGATATCAAAAGATGTCTATCCTTTTGATCTTATCGTATAATAAATACGAAAGTATTACCTCCTATACCCTCCTTAATCCCCAGTTCCCTCCTCTTTAACGCTATCAACACCAATAATCTTGATATTCGCGCTCGCGAGAAAATCAAAGATAAAAAGATCGCGCTGGAATAAGGCGGAAAGCGAACGATGATGAAGGAACTTCCGGAGTTCGAAATTCGGCGAAAGCAGAACAAAAATTCGTTTAATAATTAAATAGGTTGCGATCGATGTTATTTGGAGGATTTCAGCCGGATTAAAGCAAACATTATGTACGAAATGCCGGCTAATGATCAGTTTGCAGAACGAATTTTGGGTAAATCCCTTCTTAGTCTACTACATGAACATTCATTTCAAGCACAGGATAATTTACTTTATAATATAATCCTGCATATTTCTACAATAACTTATTCTTTAATCGTACAATTTATACACAAACAAACTACTAATTCTCTCTGTTATCTGGCATTATCATAAAGACATCATTCCTGCGATCTGCCAGGAATCCAAACTAAATAATAACTTTCTTAACAGACAGCGAGTTAGTTAACTTCTGGCCGCTCGACAGAAAAAAAAGTCCGTCGAAACCGGCGAAATTTACCGTCTGTTGAGTTTCACATAAATTCCTCGACTTTCCAGAAAAACCCGATATTCTCATTTAACATCGACGAGGTTCTAAGACTGTGCGGTAAATGGAAAACGTCGAAACTCTAAACTCGAATATCAGATTGCCGATAAACGGAAAGTTCGGGCTGGAAGTCATTTCCTGACAGAAAAATTAAAATAATATTTCTACTAATATTGGTTTTGAGTTATTGAAAAGTCTCTTGCAGAGGAAACCCATTCAAACATCAAAAGCATGTCACTTAGTTGTGATATCAAATAACAGTATTAATTCACAAATGTGTCTTTTCAAAAAAAAGAGTTGCTGATATAAATAATTTATGTAAATTTAATTGCTTCAATTTTTCATCCTGATTAAAAACAATATTTTTCAATTTTAATATAAATAATATAAGTAGGTTAATTGTAGATTGATTTACTAAGAATTTAGATATGCTTGAACGGAGATTTTATACAATTTATAAGAATAATTTTATAATTCAATCTACTTTTATTACGAACGATCTATCTCGATTTATCCAAAGGAAACAGAAAATTCTATTAAATAATTCGATGTATTTTAATTCGGTCGTTAGTTTAAAGAAAAATCTTCTCGAGGAATTTTCCAGTTCTTTAACGATCTATATTTCGTGAAAATTGCACTTTTCTGCTAAACTCCGAGTAGCTATTATTTTATATAGGCAATTAGTTCAAACGATGGTTCTTTTATAGACAATTAAACATGGTTATTAAAGTAGGTAGGTGCATTAAATTAATTGGCCATTAATTTCTTAAATAAATACCATAAATTTTGGTTTGAAACCTACAAATTAATTTCTCTTTGTAACAACAGAATATTGTTAATAAGCTCATCATTCTCTTCGCGTCATAAAAAATATATTATATGATGTATAGACTCAATTCGGTGCAAAAACCAATAGAGCGTTGTCAACAGCTTGATTTTACGAGAAACGGGACCCGTCAGGAGAAAAAAGAGAAATAAAACTTTATGGAAGTTTTAAGGGTAACAAAGCAGAGTTTTTACACCAACCCTACCAGTAAATATATACGTGTGTGCTCGCGTCGCGACGCCCTTCAACGTAAAACAACGTTGAAACGAAGGAGAAATTGTAATATTTTTTTTAATAAAGAATTTAATGCGAAAATAAGAAATGTGAATTATACGAGAACCACAGGAAGATTATGTGACAAGTTTTTTAATGTATGTATTTCAACACCAAACACCAGCATATCCTTATTCCTTAACTTAATAATACTTCAATTCCGAAAGCACTTCTCTATTCTTCTTCAAATATTGATTTTATTCCATTCACTATACTCTCTTTATTTATTCCCAGCGAGTATACCTAAATATCGAGCAGAACAAAGTTTCCAACTTAATACTAATGCTAATACTAATTCCGCTGGAAGAGCATTAATTAGATTAAAATTGTCAATACCACGATCGGAACAGCGGATTGCAGTTCGAATGCGGATTCACCTGGTGAACATTCGCACGAAACAGACCGAGAAATAGCGAGGGAAACGAGAGGAAATGCAACGAGAACGGCGAGTATACAGCTCGATATAGTGTTGCAGGATATATTATTCGAATTATTCGTCGAGAGGAATGACATAATATTTACGACTAAAAATTACGGGACGTCGAGAAGTTCGAAAAGTTTTAAATATATCCGACTAACTAATTATAACTTAACTAATACTACGCGATTTGTTTGTGGGTATTAATTTGTGTATTAATTGCACGTATTCGGAAGTGTTGGGTAAATTAATTGCTGGGTTATAACGAATTGCTTATTAAAATTGTATAAATTTCATAAGGTATATAGGGTGTTAATTAATTGTATGCCGATATTAACACCATAAAAAATCATCGTATACAGTAGAAGATAATTTAGAAGATAATCAAACTGAGAAATGTATCTCGACAGTATACAGTATGGATAAATTATAAAAATAAAAAGGATTTTCAAACAGTACGAGTACAAGAAAATAAACGTTAAACTCGAAAGAAATATTAACTCACCTATTTTGTTGTTAAAAAATGGCGAAGTTCACGGTGATTGTTTATAATTAGTCCCATTACTATTACCAATTTTGCAATAAATATTGTTCCATAACATCACTATAACGAACAAAAACTAAACCGAGAAGAACACGAAGAATTAACTAAACTAAGAAGAACGCGAAGCAAATAAATAAAACCGGAAAATAAATCACTAAAGTCTAATCACGAAAATCTACTTCAACTCCGATGTTAAAATCAAAACAATACAATTTGCACCAATCGGAATCGATAA